GCCTGCACCTGAGCGAGCGCGCCGACTGGCAGTACTCGCAGCGCGAGCTGGACGCCGTCGAGGTCTTCTTCTCGCGCACGGCCCGGGACAACCGGCTCGGCTGCATGTTCGTGCGCTGCGCGCCCTCCAGCCGCTACACGCTGCTCTTCTCGCACGGCAACGCCGTGGACCTGGGCCAGATGTGCAGCTTCTACATCGGCCTCGGCTCGCGCATCAACTGCAACATCTTCTCCTACGACTACTCGGGCTACGGCGTCAGCTCGGGCAAGCCCTCCGAGAAGAACCTCTACGCCGACATCGACGCCGCGTGGCAGGCGCTGCGCACCCGGTGAGCCCGGCGGGGTCGCCAGGCCTGGCCTGCAGCTGCGGGGAGGCGGGTGGGGGTCCCCTTGGGGCCTCTGGGGCGGCCTGTGGGGAGAGGGCCGCTCCTCGGGGGCTGTGAGCGAGCAGAGAGCCCCCGGCCGCTATGGACTTGCTTTTCGCTGGCTTTCTCCCACTGCCTCCAAAACCCCCGCCGGCCCTCAGGTTCCTGGAGAGCTCGGACTCGGTGGATTTGCCTGCTTGGGCACGCCTGGGGGCCCCGGTCCACCGGCTGGGTCTTTTGTGGTTCTGGTCACCGCGAGTGGCAGCGTGGGGGTGCTTAAGTACCGGCAGAAACAACTTGGTGCGCGCTGACTTTGTGTGAGCCGGCAACCAGCGAGTGAAGGTCCTCATGCTGAAGTGACCTTGGGGAAGACCCAGGAGTCTCGAGACCTCTGTTTCCTTCCTTGTAAAATCACGGGGCGAGACGGATGACCTCCAGAAGACTTTCCGGTTGTGAAGTGCTCCGCGGGGCAGTGTCTGGGCGGCCGTGGAGGCGGTTGGGGGGTCGGAAGGTGTGAAGTTTGCCTCCTGGTGGGACAGAATAGCTGGGACTGTGTGGGCAGAAGTTAGCTGGTGGCTGTTGGCCTGGCACCTTTCACAGAGCCTCAGTTACAGCCCAGGATGAGTTTGAATCTTATGTTACAGGGTTTGGGGAATCCCTTGACCTTGAATTAGTATTCAAAGAAGGACTGGGAAGTATTTATTGAGGGAGGGACTTTTATGTGCAAGTCACAAATTGGGGGCATGGTTTCCGGGCTAGACCTGGTAAGACAAGCAAACAGGACACTTGAGTTTTATTCTCAACTTAGACAAAAGTCTAGTAAGTGAGCAAGTCACGTCACCTGTTTGTGCTCCAGTTTTGGTATTTATGACCCACCGCATAGCAGTCATGGTGAAAATACCTGAGATCATGTCAGTAATGACATCTGGTTTCTTCAGGTGAAAGAGTCCCAGAATAAGTGTAATTGGCGCTTACATAGTTTTTATCTAAAATGTGTTTGCTCGGCTTATGCAGATTGCTGACATTAATGATTTTGTCTCCTGTTCATACATAGGCTCATAAATTACTCTTTGCCTTTCTGGGAAAATGGGTTGTCCAACAAGGAAGTACTTAGGATTTAATATACGTCGCTTATTCATGTTCTCCTGAACGAGTTCATTTGGATTATAGCTTTTCGAAAGTGGTTTACGCAGATGAGAAGGTATCCTATGCAGATACATGGAGTAAATCCTCTGCCCTGCATGGGCAGGTGTGTCTGTGATACAACATGTGTGAGCGTGGTTATTTCCAGAGACTCTTGTCCTAGTTTAGTTTAATTAAGGTCATTGGTTTGGATAAACGATTCAATTCATTGAATTATCTGGTGGTATATCTAAATTTTGCTCATGATTTAATTTTATGCCAGAACTCATCTAGGTTGGTTTACACTCCTGTAAAATGGGTTAGAATTTAAATGCTAAATGAGACTCTTAGGATTTGAAGACACCTTACAAATCCTCTTGTCTGTGCTTTTCACACTTTTTTGATTGTGACCCCATAGTACGAAACATTTTATATCTTGATCAAGCATACACATACACATCTATATCTATCTGAAGCAAACATTTCACAAAACAGTATTTTTTCTATGGGCAGTGCACATGGCAGAATATGTTCTATTTCATGTAAAATTAAAAAAGAGAGGAAAAAGAATGCTGGTTGTGAACCATTGAATTTATTTTCCGACTCATTTCTGGACACTGCTCTTGTGCACCCACCTCTCCTGGGAGAGGCCTGGGGAAGATAAGCTCATGGTGAATTAGCGCAGGTCTCTCGGCTGCCAGCTCAGTACTCGTTCCACGGCACCGAGTATTCCTGTTTATCAGATTTCTCAAGAGGTGCATGTATGTGTCTCAGTTGTTCTAATAACACAGGAGGCACCTGATTCTGAAGCTAGTCAGTCCCTTACCCGCCGTCCTGCGGCCTGTCCTCTCTCGCTGTTCTGTGGTTCTTCTGCTCTAACCTTGCCTGGAACATGTCCTGTTCTCTGCCCATTTACAGCCCCGTTCTGGTCATGGCCCCAGCAGCAGTACCTTCCACCCATTCTTCCCTAGTTGGGTACCCCCTCCACCTCCCAGCCCCCGTGTCTTTGGGGATCTTTTTCTTTTCTGACTGCTTAACGGCAGTGCTCAGGACAGTGATTGGAGAGCCTGCCCTGTCCTGAGGCACCTCAGTCTCTGTGCTCAGGTTGCCCCCAGGAGGACTGTAGGGTGTGTCACTACTGTGCACCCCCGCAGTACTTGGCCCAGGACTTGTCCTCCCTCCTGTGCTCACATTTGGCCTTTTGTATAAGCCTTTTTCCTCTGCCAGGAACATGAGATCCTGACTGGATCCTGACTGGAGTCAAAGAGCCTTCGTGTTCCTGTGCACCTGGCACTCAGCCCCTTTACCTGCACTTATCACCCTGTGTTGCTATATCCTGTTATTTAAGTGTATTCCCATTAAATTGAAAGTTCCTTGAGAGCAAGGACTCCACATCTATATTCCCAACAACTGGCAAAGTGCCTTAAAATAATAGGCACTCATTAAATGCTTGTTTAATGGATTGCACATATGGATGCCCCATAAGTAAATGGGGTAAATTCAATTTTTCCTAAGTTGGATTCTTAACAAATGTTGGGTCTTATTTTACCTCCAGACTTTACTATCCATGGGTACAGCCATAGACAAAAAAGGGGTGATGATGTATTGGCTTGAGGTCTGATCCACTTTGTATCTGTTATATGCATGTGTTTGCAGCACCAAAGTGTCTGTATTGAAAAACAGAGTAAGAGTAACCTTTCCTGTGTATTTCTGTTCATTCTTTATCCATTACCTGTCTGTGCCAGCTCCTGTGCATGCTGTGGTGAGCTGCCCAGCCCTTGATGAGGACTTCATAAATACTCCCGAGTATTTGCGTGGGTAAAGGCAGCAAATCTCCTAAATGATGAGTGATAAGGTGGGCAAATCATCCAGAATAACAGTTTCAGGAGGAAGTAAATTTGAAGGCAACAAACGTGGTCATTGCTATTTGGCCAATAAATGACGATTGTTATAGTCTAATTTGAAAAATTACTGAAAAAGGTGTAGAAGAGAGATGGGATTTGAAGGAGCCAGGAAGAGTGTGGACTCATAGAAGTAAGTTGGTGTCTTAGTCCACTGGGGTTGCTGTAATAAAATACCATAGACTAGGTGCCTTATAAACAACAGGAATTATGGCTCATGGTTCTGGAGGCTAGAAGTCTGAGATCAGGGTGCTGGCATGGTCAGGTGTGGGAGAACCCTCTTCCTGATTGTAGACTGTCGACTTCTTGTGTCCTCACGTGGCGGGAGGGGCAAGGGAGCTTTCTTGGGCTACTTTATAAGGGCACTAATCCCATTCATAGGGGCTCCACACTGAAGACCTAATCACTTTACTAATAACATCACCTTGGGGGTTAGGTTTTAGTACATGAATTTGGGGGGGGCCCACAAATATTTAGTCCCCCAGCAGCTGTATGAGAACAGTGAGGAGAGACAACAGAGAACCTAAGTGTGATGGGGAGCTTGAAGGTAGGCCGTGCTTTCCATTTGTGTTACTGACATACTTTGTTAAGTATGTTGTGAATACAAGCAATTGAGGGCATGACTTGGAATCACTTAGAAGTATTTGTGGAAAAGACGCTGAAAATCAGGGTAGCCTTATTGGAGGGTAGTGTTGTAACTTGAGCTGGGGAAGTGGTTAATCTGTGCAGGAAAGGCTGCCTGTTGGCTAAGGTGGGAGTAAGACTCCTCCACACACATCCTTCGGGGGTCCTCTGGACATGAGCTGCAGAAGTGGGGCCTGTGATTCAGGAGGGAGTGAATCAAGCTGATTTGAAAGCATAAACCCAAACAAGCAAATAACCCAGAGAATGAGGTGTAAGATAGGTGGAGAGTATTTTAGCTGAAACATTTTAATATAGAAAAACAGGAGAGTAGGGCATTTGTGATTCACTTTGTTGTTGGTGTTTATCAGTGCCAGCCACAGAAGTTGTCTGATCCTTCTATTTGATGCAAGGACTATGGAGGAGAAAGGCATTTGGTAACAAAGACACAGAAACACTGACCCAGTCAGAGAAGCAAATGCAGAGAGAGGAGGGTAGAGTCTCTCAGTGCCTGGGTGCAAAAGGCAAACTACAAAAGATGATATTTCATTCACTCATTCATTCATTCAACCAACAAACCATTAGCCATTACCACAGTATCCATACTGTACTTGTACCAGACACTACAGTAGGTTCTCCTTGAGTATCGTTAACCTGAAACTGTTTCTTTTTGTTGTGAAAGGATGGAATAGATTTTAGAGCCATTGTGAATATGTAACCATGTGTTGCTGTTTTATAACTTTTGCTCCTGTGAATCAAGGACCCGTAATTGGGAAATCCCTGAGAGGGGAAGGCTGTAGTGGACACCCTCAGGGAGTGAGTCCTTAAAAAGCCCCTTCTGTTGGTTGAAAATGGTGTTTACAGTTATGGGTCACAGGATGAATTTCTCCTGGGAGCAGCAGAACAGTTACCTTCCTGGGCACGTTGAAGTGAATGCCCTGACTTCTTTGTTCTCGGTTTTCTCAGAGGGAATACTATGGTGCCATTAAGAAAGAATGCTCAGGATTTCTACCTGAGTTTGACTGATTAGGGAGGGACAAGAGAAACAGAATGTGTTATGAATAGTGTTTGACATGAGGTGAAAGCATAGTGATATTTCTAGAAAGGAAATAGAATATCAGCTTGCAATTCAAGGCAGCCACTATGAGAATATCCCATTAGGAAGAACGTAACTCTTAAGAACAGACCTGTTGAAACTGCAGCGCGTGGAGTGTGCTTTGGGGGTTCGGTTGGAAGCTCCGGCGTCTCCTCTCCCTTCCTTCAAGTGCTCTTGTGCCGTGTCTGCTTCTTTAGGCTCCCCTCACTGTGCCTCAGCAGGTT